CCTGCATCACTGAAGGCAAATGAATCTTTTGGGTACTGAACCTGCTTACGTATCTGTCAGGGCAGTAACAAGGATGCAAGAACTAAATGTTGGCTGGGTGTGAGTAATATGCATATAACACAAACATAATTATTTGTACTAGACTTTGAAAATAATTAATACCAAATGTGCAGTATTTGAACAGCAGTATCTCCACCCTTGTAAAAGTTGTGTGGTTGAGGAAATGCTGATATAAAAAACTAAGTACCAGATCCATCCAAAAATGCTGTTTTTGAGAATGAAACTTTACTTAATGTCTGCTTTGCATATTTTGGATATTTTTTAAATGGGTGCTAACCTGAAAATTGTACTGTTTTAGTTTTGATTTCATGAATTATTTTCACATCTCTATATAACAGCTTAAGAGCTGGTGTCATTCTTTGCAGTGGGAGATGGTCCTCATGCTTTCCTCCTTGCACTCTTGGTTGGAGACGAGAAAGGTTGTGTAAGGTTGGGACAGGGAGAGCCACAGCAGAAGCAGGGTTTCACTTCTTGAATTTTTTCCTGAGATTTCAGGGAGTATCTGAAAATAATGGGTGAACAGAGTCCCATGGACTTCTTGATGCTTCCAGTAGTAAGAGGAGAGAGAAAACAGATGTAAAACAACAACAAAACAACAACCTAAGCTGCTTTTGAAAGAGTTGGAGGGTAAATCAGTCTGAGCTGATGAAATCTTTCTTGCTCTGCATGTGCTGGTTAGAGTTTTAACTTGATACTGTCCCTTTAGCAAGAGTCTGGAACTAAAACTGTCATTTCTGAGCTGTGCTGCTGCTTGTTATCTTCCTGCATTTTAATTCAGCAGTGATAGGGAAAACTAAGGGGAGTGAGAGGAATTCGGAGACTGCTACACCAAAATATATGACTTGGCACTAACTGGTCTATCATATGTCTAGATATAAAATAATCCATATTCACAGTAAAATTACTAAATGTTTTGGGAGGTAGAAGCTAAGAAGAGGGAGAGTACGTGTAGCTGTTAATCTCTGTAACTTTTCAGTCTCTACTTTGGCTTCATTCCTGCATTTGTAGTTAGGGTTGCACACCTAGGCTGTTATGATAGTTATGGGTATAACATGTGGCTTTCCACACCTTGTTTTTTCTCTGGCTGCAATGAATGACTGCCTTAGGCCTCACCTTACACCAGGCACTGAGGTGTTTTCAGTAATATGAAGGGGCAGTAAAGATCTGTATGCTTTGACAAATCAGAACAAGAGCACCAGGGAGCTGATGTGCATTTCTTGGAGGCTCTTGTTCCTTCTGCCTCGTCTCTCAGGTCTCTCAGCACATACCTTTTGTCCCATGACTTTCCAAAGCACATTTTCCTTTCCCTTCTTGTGCACCACTCTGGGTATGTTTTCTCTCTGTGAACTGTCCTTAGCTTCAGGGATGTGGGAGTTAAGGCCATCAGCTGTCCTGACAGAATTGTCAGTTGCCCTGCTCCTTCCAGCATGGCACAGCTCCTGCACCTGACATCCTGCTCAGCCACACACCCATGAAATCCTCAGCCTTTGAGGAAGGAATACCACGTGTTGTTTTTTTTTATTTTTATTTTATTCCCACTCCCAACTATTATTTTCTTGTATGTGCAGACATACTAAACTGGATGTTCCCTGGGGCATTGTAGGATTTTTCTCTACCAAAATGTTTGTATCAGTCTAAAATAAAATCTTAAAAATAATTACAAAAGCCTTTTTTTCTTTTTTTTTTTCCTTCCTTCATTATAGATCATATCAGGAGTAGTTAGGGACTCAGTAGATGTAAGACAATGTAAGGACAACTCTGTAAAACTCATTTGGAATAGATTAAAAAGAAAAGAAAGATGGAAAGAAAAGCTCCCTCTTACTTGGAGGGGGTCACATTGGGAGAAATTAACCTAGGAGCTTGTGGCTGAACAAGAGAAACCTAGAAACTACTATTTCATAGAATCATAGAATGATTTGGATTGGAAGGGATCTAGTTCCAACCTCCTTGCTATAGGCAGGGACACCTCCCTCTAGACCACGTTGCTCAAAGCCCCATCCAGCCTGGCCCTGAATGTTTCCAAGGAGAGGGCATCCACAGTCTCACTGGGCAACCTGTTGCAATGTGTCACCACCCTCACAGTAAAGAATTTCTTCCTAATATCTTGTCTAAATCTACCCTCTTTCAGTTTGAAACCATTTATCCTCGTCCTGCCACTATGTACCCTTCTTAGAAGTTCCTCCCCAGCTTTCCTGTAGGCCCCTTCAGGTACTGGAAGGCTGCTATAAAATCCCCCCACAGCCTTCTCTTCTCCAGGCTGAAGAGCCCCACTTCTCTCAGCCTGTCCTCATGGGGGAGGTGCTCCAGCCCTCTGATCATCTTCGTGGCCCTCCTCTGAACCTGCTCCAACAACTCCATGTCCTTGCATTGAGGGCCCCAGAACTGGACAGTGTACTCCAGGTGAAGTCTCACAAGAGAGGAGTAGAGGGGCAGAATCACCTCCCTGTCCCTGCTGGCCACACTTTTCTTGATGCAACCCAGGATATGGTTAGCAATTGTTCTAATTGTTATATTCTGTCCTAATATGAAGTTAGGGTGAAGAATATTCCTATCAACAAAGAGCAGTATGCAGCATTGATGGTGCTGTTTCCATAATTCAATCTCTTGTGTCTAGATGGAGCTTCTGGGGCTGCAGACATAAGAAGGTATTTTGCAAACTGGAGAGAATACCTTTTCAAAACCACAGAAATTATGGGTTAATGTAATGTGGACTACAACTCATAGACATCCAGGATTAAAGGAAATAGCTGTAGCTCTGGCTTTCAGGTGTCTGGAAAGGTAATGAAATAGTAAAGATGGCTTTACCTTTTTTCTCTCCCAACTGATCTCTAAAGTCATACTTTTCATGAGGTCCAGAACAACTTGTTTCTTTCATTAAGCCTAACTTTCTCTACTTTGATCCCAATTATGTAGTTACATCCATTAGTTCATGCTTGTATGTCTGTGCAGGTTCCTGTGAACTTCAGTGAGACCTGAGCATAGGACCCACATCCTGGCAGAGTGTAACTAACATGCTAATGTTGATGTCTCTTCTAATGCCTCATTTTAATCACTCAGTATCTTGCAAGCTTCTTTAGTTCTATACTGGCAAGCTGTGACGGACACCTTGTCAAAGGAAGTCTCTATAGAAAAAAATCTGTTACTGTTCTTAATTTTGCTACTTTGAGAGGCTTGTAAAATGGAGTAAAGTTTCTCTAGGCTATACCTTCATCAGGATTTGTTAATTTTTACAGGTATTTTTATATGGTGTTGTTTTTCAAGAAAATATTACTTAATGGCATGGTACCTGCCATTGAAGTGGGAGTTAATAATAATTTCTTAAAATGTGTCTTTTTCATTGCTTGTATAATTGTAAGCATTTTCTTTTCACTTGATGTGTTAATGATGCCTATAGAATTTCAAAAATAAACAAGATCAGCACTAGTCATTCTAAACTGACATCCATTTGTGCAAATGTTTGTACAATTTGTTTTTAATGTGTATTTATTCACTTCTTACCCACAAAATCTGTCACTACTTTTGATTCTTGAAACTAGTAAACAGTTTTGCTTTCACTTTACATCCATATTGTGCATCTTTAAACCACTTACTCTTGCATTTTGCAGATGTGTACATGGCGAATAATTTAAACTTTATAGCTCTAAACTGATTTCTCTAGTTAGATTCAGATTTGTTAGTTTTGCAGTTAGGTTCTATAATATAATCAAGTCCTTGATTATCACCTGACTACCCAAGCTAAAATTATAATTGTTTAAAACTTGCAGGTCACTCTCCATTTTACACATAAATAATCTGCTCGTGATTTAGTGTTCCTGCGTGCTTTTCATACTTCTCCGTAAGGTAATACATGTCAGCACAACCCCAGAACACTGATATTTCTCTCCTTCACCGTATTCCTAGTGAGTTCTTCAGGTCACAGCATCTGCTGTCTCACTCTTTGGCTCAGTGACGTTCTCCTGACATTTCTCATCAACCACTGTACACTCTCAGTAATCCAATTTTGAATGGAAAATCCTATAAAAATGTTTCTGCGGGCTTCTGACCACAGCAAGCCACTGATTGTCTACTGCCATTTAGGGTCTAATAGTCCGAAAGTGGATTTGAGTAGATAATTGCTCTCTAGTTTATTTTCTTTTCTTTTTCCTTGAAGATTTTTTTTTTTTTTAAACTTGCAAGAAGTCTCAATTAATAGAATCGTAGCTACTTTAGGTGGTCATAAGCAAATTAATGATTTGTTCTAAGGTACCATAAAATTGTAAAATTGGATGGTGTATTCTGTTTGTTTTTGAAACAGATTGATTCTTGCAAGGAGTTGGTCCGGGAGGCAGAGATTAAAAATCTCTCTCTCTTTCTATACCTACACATGTTGAGGACTATATTCTAACTAAAATTTCCTTTTCACCCTCAGGGGTGCTAGAGGAGAGAGAATTCAACTTAATTTTACAGCCTGACATAGTAAAACTCATAGTAATAGAGATCAGACTTGAATGTTTAAAAGAAAATTGAAAAAATGACATGGAAAGTCTTACAAGGAGCATCCAGCTTTTGAAATTTCTTGGGAACCGTGAACACCTATCAAATAGACTGAATGTGTTTTCTTGCCTTAAACTCAGATATAAATAATGTAGTTAATAATATTTAATAATTAATAACACTGCTGGTAGAATAGCCCCCCTACTAATGCTAAGCATGAGTACAGAAGTAATATGTAGTTGCAAAGGGAGACGTATGTTAATTGCACAAATAGGGGACAGAAAAACATGTGAATCAACAATTAAAGAATGAAAATCTGCAAGTTAAAACAAAGGATAAGCAGGAAGCATTTCTGGTGGAACCAGAACAGTTTCTGGTCCTAAAGAAAATGAGATAATCATGTCAGGAGCAGATGAGATTACTTCCCACGCCTTTTTTTTTTTTTTTTTTTTTTTTTTTTTTGGTAGAGTTGATGACAAGCATCAAAAGCACAGCAAGGAAAAGTAGGGAAGAAGGTCTACAACTGCAGTTCCTTGTTCAAGGCTAACTCTCATCTATTCACCTCAACTTGAACTGAGACCATCAAGGAACACAACCATCAGTGTTTAACTGCCTGGCTTCTGCTCAGTGGTATCTTGTACGGAAAGGTAACTTAGGATAAAATGATTAGGGCCTATTTGAATATGTGGTGATAATGAGTGGTAGTGATTAAGAATTAACCATTGCCAATGTGTATTGTTAATGAACATCGATCTAGTAAGGTCTTATTAGGAAGTTTGCAGTTGGGCTCCATTATCAGTCTTCTAAATCTTCCCATCGCAGCAACCTTAAGTTCAGCTGCTTTAAGAAGTGTTTACTGGGGCAAGGACAAGTGCAGCATCTGCATGTTT